GAGTTATTATATTAGGTGTAGTAAAAAGAAATCCATTATTTTTCCAATAGATGGCTTTAGTTATCTGTATCTCGCGTTGTATAAGTCCGATCTGGTTCCACCAGATGGCGTTAGAAAGATGAGATATCGTACTAAAAAAACTTTTCTGACAGTTTTGTGATTAGTTGACTCAGTTTTGTTTGAGCGCGCGTCAAAGATGGACACTAGCAAAGAGGAAATACGCTATATTTTACAGTTTTTCTTCGATAAAGGCGAAAACGCAAGTCGGGCGGCTGAAAATGTGAATAGTGTTTATGGTCCTGATACTGTAACAGCCAATCACGCGCAATTCGTCGATTCCGTTCCGGTAATTTCGATGTCAAAGATGCACCACGCACTGGAAGGCCAATTGTCGAAAATATCGATAAAATCATGGACATTGTCGAGTCCAACCGTCATGTAAGCACTGTTTGGATTGCCCAAGAGCTAAAGATTGCACAAAAAACCGTTTGGAACCATTTGAATAAGGCTGGATACAAAAAGAAGCTCGATGTATGGGTGCCACACGAGTTAACGAAAAAAAACCTCATGGACCGAATTTCCATCTGCGAATCGCTGCTGAATCGCAACAAAATCGACCCATTTCTGAAGCGGTTGGTCACTGGTGATGAAAAGTGGATCACTTACGACAACGTCAAACGAAAACGGTCATGGTCGAATCGCGGTGAGCCGGCGGAAACGGTGGCCAAGCTAGGATTGACGGCCAGGAAGGTTTTGCTGTGTTTGGTGGGATTGGCAGGGAATTATCTACTATGAGCTGCCCCCCTACGGCAAAACTCTTAACTGGGAACTGTACTGTCAACAATTGGACCGTCTGAAGGAAGCAATCGCCCAGAAGTGGCCAGCTTTGGCCAATAGGAGAGGAATTGTGTTCCATCAGGACAACGCCAGGCCACACACATCGATAGTGACTCGCCAGAAGCTCCGGGAGCTTGGTTGGGAGGTTCTTATGCATCCACCTTATAGTCCGGACCTGGTACCAAGTGATTACCATCTGTTCCTGTCCATGGCGAACAATTTTGCTGGTGAAAAATTCGCTTCAAGAGAGGCTTGTGAAAATCGACTGTCTCAATTTTTTGCCAATAGGGACGAGGGCTTCTATGAGAGAGGCATAATGAAATTACCTTCAAAATGGCAACAAGTTATCGGACAAAACGGCGCATATTTGACCTAAATCGGATCATTCTAACTATGGTAATTAAAGCCTTCAATTTCATGCAAAAATAATGGATTTCTTTTTACTACATCTGATATTAATTCATTTTTAACCAACATATCACTTTGTGTACAACATTCACATAATTCATTAAACGATTGATGCCAATGTGAAAACGTAGCATTTATAAAATCTTGAAGCTTATAACTTTTCTTCTTCAAATCATTAATAAAAATTGAAATAATTAATTTATTATTTGTAGTACATTTTACATTATCACAGGATGTGCACCGACTTATAGTATTTACCTTATATTCTAGTAAACATTTTATATAGTCATATTTGGTACAAAGAGCTATAAGAAATTCGGCGTCTCGTTTTATGTGTTATGTCCTGGAGGAGGAACGCAACTTGACGCTTGCTCTCGCAAGCTCCGACGTACTTGCAAGTCTGCGGTATAGATCAAGGATCGGAATGATCCCTTTATCTGGCGCGGACGTACGTCGGTGGTCCTTTATTTAGGTCAGGGAACTGAATCCCTTTACCTGCGATAGGACCATATGCGACGGTTGAGGAAAGGGAGGATTTTTACATTAAATAATTATTTGTGGCGAGTGGTTGGGTATTACTTACAAATTATGCATTTATTGATATAAGTATTAATTTAAGTTGCAAGAAAATCGATTTTCAGATATATACGTTGTGTAACTATATATATATATATATTTATGTGGTCGCGGTTCTAGAGGCTACTTTTAAATATTCCGAGGGATATTCAGGTACGAGAAGATCAGGTGTCGGGGAAGCGCTTAGCGAGGGAGAAAATCGACGCGAGGATGCCTTTCAGGGAGAGGGAGAATAAATAGGAATGAGGCCACGGAGTAAGGCTGCATGGAAGCCACGCGTACCCCCTCATAGAAGTGAAGTTGGAGGGGAAGGTGTCGGGGATGGGCTCCAAAATAAAGGAGAACCTATAGGAGATCGGTCTTCGGTGGGATTCAGGGATGTTGGTGAGTAAGATATAGGAGGAGTTCCGGGGGGAGAATCGGGAAGGAACAACAAATGAGAATGTGCAAATCTTGAAACTTCGGATTCGTTATGGCGAACAATATAGTCCGGGCGATCTTGTAATGCGAGTTCTAATGAGGCGACTTCAAAATCTTCGCGGTTTTCGTACTTTTCTAAGGTAGTTAGGTCCGTTTGAACTTGATAACATTGAGCCACTGCAATCGGATTCCACAATTAAGGAGGCATGCCAAGGGGAATAGAGAAAGGGAAAAAGGGGAAAGAGAAACGAGAGAGAGAAGAAAGATAAGAGAAGAGAGCAGGTAGTGAGAAAAATAGACAATAAATGAAAAAACAAAACAAAAAGAAAGGCTTACTGTTGTATGATGGTTCCCTTTGGGTGAAGGATAATAGCCTGTTGTCGGCCTCGACTTTGGGTCCAGATATCGTGTGATTCCTTAAGTTCTGGACAGCGTCTGTATTTTCGGGGTTGCTGTGAAGACTGGTTACCGTTGGTGATGATAATGAGTCAACCGAGCCAATTTATAGAGAACCGAATGAAAAAATGTAACTTGGTATATCCACTAGACACTAAGTGATTTACGAGAGGAGCTTCTTTCTTGGCTGCTGGCTCGGCGAGAAGTGGCTGAGACTTTTGACTTTTCTCAAAAAGTCAGCTCGGTTGAGGGAGTGGGGTCTAATATTTTTATGCCCAAATATGGTCATAGGACTGTGCTTCGAATGTTTGTAGAGGTTGAGTCAAGAGCGTAAGATAAACCATTTTTATAGGAGATAGGGAGCATGTGGCAATAAGAGGATTTCTATAGTTTACAAAATGTGGCTATCTTAAGAAGGAAATGTCGATATTTTTAAGTAGGATGTCGCGGTATTGTTAACGTAGACTGAGCGCGTGGGAACAAGATCGGAGTTGGGTTCGAGATTGGAATTTTCAAAGATTCTAGGGTCATCGCGTCGTGTGATAACATATAATAATAATAATAATAATAATAAATTCAATTTTCCTTGTTTATAAAAGAGGTCTAGAATGCGCGAAGTCCGCAGGACGTAACATATGTTACTGGAAAAATACTCTCCTAAACATCATCGTATCGCATATGTATTTAATTTAACTACTCCATTTTCATATCGATATGCTAATTTACCTAAAACATTTAGTTTATCACAAGTGAACAATTGTTCTCTAATATCATTTAAATGTAATAAACAACTGCATTTGCATAACATGAAATCTTATTTGAGTTTTGAAAACCATTTATAACCAATGTAAAATTTTGTCTAGTTTCTTGATACGGCTCCTGAACAGAAGAAACTATCTTTGGCAATGTCCACAAGACATCTTTTACTTTACGATGACGCTGTTTTGAAATAGTAATCATTGCTTCCTCTGTTTTATACATTTTTTTAACCGATTATATTCAATAATAGCTTCTTCACTAGCTTTTACTGATGAAGAGTCGTAGTTAATTAAATACAATCCCTTTGTAGATGTTATGCGCGATAATTCAACATAAACTTGACCACAATTAAATACAGAGTTACCTATATCCATGATAGCATTCTGCAGACCCAGTCCTTGACTTTTATGAATGGTAATTCCATAACCAGAGAGAAGAATGAAAGCGGCCACCGGCCGTATTTCGGAGGATACGGCTAGGTGCATTTTAGATATGCCATCCGACCAAATTGCGCCTAAACTACGTCCGCTAGGCGCACTTTCACGGTGATAAAAGTAAAATGCGCCTAGGTTCGTGTCCGTACTACTTCCATGCAATGGATAGTAGATTAGAAAAAGACAGATGACAGACAATCGTTCCGTCTTTGTCTCACTACTGAGCGGCGCGCGGCAGTAAACACGAGGCGAGGTAGCGGCGATCTTATCGCTAAGCGAACATCTCTCCGCTTTTCTTCCATCTTTCACGCTCCAGAGATATCAAAAGACGCGGTAGCGTCTCGTGTCAAGGGAACGTGCGAAGCGAGGAATTATTTTTCACGCACGCGAGGTAGCACATGGGAGACTAGACAAGCGTCGACATATTATTTGTTTCTTTCCCGCTCGTCTAGCTTATTGATTGCGTGAGCCGCGAGATTTTTCTCGCTACTCCTATACCTCGCTCTTTCTCTCTCTCGCGCACTTGCTCGCTCTTCCTCTCTTCTCGTGTTCTTACGGCATGATTAAATATATTAATTACAAGACAATATATATATAAATAAATGACACATATATAGTGTATATGTATATAAAGAATATTTAGTATTAATGCACAAATAAAGAAGAAAGAATTATAATGAGAGACTAAAAGTTAATAGAAATCCACTCTTAGCCAATATATACATCTTTTAAAAATGATTTGTTATTAAAGTATATGACAGAATAATCTATGCTAATAAATTTAAATTAAAAATTAAATGAAATGTTATTTGTTTTGTAAAAAATATTCCAACGTTACATTTTTCTTTTCGTAGCAAAAATAAATTTAGTCTAGTAAAAAAAGAAATTAGTTTTATTATCACATTTCAATTACGACTTTACTATTTAATTTTACGAATAGATAACGTGCATATTGTTGCTTAACGGAAACCGCGAGAAAATGGTGATCTCCGTCAAAAATAAATGCAAACTTTATAATAATATAATAATATTTTTACGTAAGTGTTTGTTTTTATAGTATAACCTGTTGAATTTTGTTAATTACACAGCCACACAAAAGAAAGTGTCTTGATCTGGGGACGAGACATGTGTATTCCTACGTATTTTGACGCGCTGAATCTAAATCCGCTATCAAAATTGGCCCAACGGGTCTTGGTTCAACCTTAACCTCCAAAAACACCTAAAAATTACAGAAAAATGCGAGAAAATTGTGATATACTGCCTGACAGGCAAATTTTAACCTAAAAACCAATGTCTACAGAGCCATAAACTTACAATTAACCTGACCTTTTTTTTTTTTTTTTTTTTTTTTTTGACGAGGAGGAAATCCATCATGGATACCCTGACCCTCGGGGAAGGGCCAGGGTTATGCCGGACTCCTACCGGCTAAAACCTCCCCGGGTGGCGCTGCGAAGGGACTTGGTTCGGGGCCCCGGTGCCGTGTAACTGCTGATCGGGGCCCCGAGTCCAGATGTTACACCTTCTGTCCCTGAGGGGCGGGGTGGGGGAGGGGGGAAGCCGACCCGAGGGTCCGCTTCGACCGCCGCTCCCCCAGGGGAAGGGGGAAGCCGGCCCGAGGGCCCGCTTCGACCGCCGTTCCCCTTTCCCACCCCTCACGCCTCGTCTCTTCGGTCAGGAGGGGGGGGAAGCCGGCCGAGGCCCGCTTCACCACCGTTCCCGACCAGACGAGGCGCCGCCAAAAACACGTTGTGTGGCTGACTGACCCACCGTATCAGCCAGCCACCCTACCTTGGGAGGGCTGGTTGGGGCACCGGGAGTCCCCGCCCGGTACCCCACCCTCCCGCCCGGCGGTTGCAGGGAGATCTACTCCCCTAGCCGCCGGGCTCTCCCCACCTCCGCGGAGGAATGGGGCGGGGGGTCCTAGCGACCCCCCTCCCGCATGTCCGACTGGTCTGTCGGACTTGCGATTAAGGGGGGGAGGGGCATTTGTTTCGATGATTCGTTATCATCGATGCCCTCTCCCCCCCTCATTTTCATCCGACTCCCGTTCTTGTGGGAGTCGGCGGTCTGCGGGTGTAGGGCCTAGGCCTGAGCCGGGCCCTCCACCCGCTACCTTCTCCCGTCGTCGCTGCCCTTGGTGGGACAGCGGGGGGTGGCGGCGGTGGCGGCGCCGCAGTCACCCCTGCTGCTGGAGGGGCGGTCAGCATGGCTGCCGCCACCATTAGAGGGGTGAGGCGGCGCAAAACCACCACCGCCACCCTTCCGTCTCCGACTCCTCTCCGGTTTCCACGGGGGGCACCGTGCCCCCTGCAGGTACCCCGTCTCGCTGCTGGTGCCTGGGGGGGAGCAGGAGGGGGAGGGGGGGAGGAGGTGGAGGAGGTGGTGGTTGGCCCACCATCCTCCTGAGCTCATCCTCCTCCGAGGAATCAACATCCCCCTCCCTACTCCTGCTTCTCCCCGCCCTCCACTGGCGGTGTCTCTCGCGCCGCCGCCGCTTCCTTCCTCTACCCTCTGCCTCTCTCCGCGTTTCTTCCGCCTCCTCCTTCTGCGTCATTACCGAGTCGCAGAAGGAGGAGAACGCATCCCATCTCTTCTCACTCCCGAGGACCGCCCCAACTATCCTCGGGAGTGAGAGGTCCTGGCCCAAGGCCCTGACCATGACTCCGCGCTCGGCACTCCAGGCGGGGCAGTCCTGGAGTGTGTGTTGCGCGGAGTCATGGTCGTGTCCGCAGTGGTGGCATGTCGCCGTGCGCTCCTTGCCTATCCGGCACAGGTACTCACCGAAGCATCCATGCCCGGTGAGCACCTGTGCCATCCTAAAGGTCAGGGTCCCGTGGGCCCTTCCTACCCACTCTGGCAGGAAGGGCCGGACGGCCTCGACAGTCCTCCTTCCATACCTGGCATTAGCCAGGAGTCGCTGCCATCTCTGAAGGAGGACCTGTCGAGTCTGGTGCTTCATCCTTCTGATTGTCCTGGCGAGCGGTTCTTCCGCCCCCCCCATACGTAGGAGCTCACGCTTCCTATCGTACATTCGATTGTACGATAGGGCCATGAGCTCCAAGGGGGGCATGCTCGCCAGGACCGTCGCCGCCACGTGGGATACTGTTCGGTAGCATCGGGCCACCCTGACCGCCAGCGCCCTTTGCACCCTGCGCAGGGTTGCCTGTATCGGGCGACTGACGGCCAGGGCTTCCGCCCATATCGGTGCCCCGTAAAGGGCCACCGAGTTGAGTACCCCAGCGTGGAGGCGACGCGCCTTCCCATCGGGTCCCCCGGTTCTCGGCATGAGCCTGCTGACTCCGTTGGAGACAGCCCTCAACCGGGGGACCAGGCGATTGAAGTGTTCCTTGAAGCACCAGGTGCCGTCCAGGGTGAGGCCCAGATATCTCATCTGGGCCTCTATTGGGACCCTGACCCTTCCCACTCTGATCTGGGCCTGGGGTGGCTTCATCCTCCTACCATGGAGGAATATTGCCTCCGTTTTTCTCTCCGCCACCACCAGACCCAGTCCGCGAATGGAGCGCACGACGCATGCCACCGCGAGGTTGGCCGTTCTCACGGCCTCCCCCCAGTCTCTCCCCCCGGCTATGATGAGCGTATCATCGGCGTAGCAGATGATGCTACAGCCGGGGGGGAGGGCAGTTTGGAGGACAGAGTCGTAACCGAGGTTCCACAGGAGGGGGCCCAAAACGGACCCCTGTGGAACCCCGCAACTCATGCCCCTCTCGCATACCTTGCCGTCGGCGTCTCTCCAGGCTAGACGCCGACCCCGGAAGTAATCCCTGACGACGGCCACGAGGTAGGGTGGGAATTGGAAGTGGCCTTCCATGGCCTCCACCACCCTACCCCAGGGCAGGGTGTTGAATGCGTTGGCGATGTCTAATGACACCGCCACCGCCACCCCGCCCTCCTGCACGATGGCCTCCGAGAGGGACCGCAGACGCCGAATCGCGTCTACGGTTGAACGTCCCTCCCGGAAGCCATATTGGCCGTCGTCAAGGTTCGGACCTTCCCGGGACATATGCTCCACGAGACGGGCAGCTATGACACGCTCGAAGAGCTTGCCCGCCTCGTCCAGGAGACATATGGGCCGGTATGCGGAGGGGGTGTCCTCCGGTTTGCCCTCTTTACGGAGGAGGACCACATTGGCCCTCCCCCAGACTGGGGGGACCCTCCGTTCCCTCAGGGCTGGCGAGAATATCCTCGCGAGCCTTCCGCCTAGGTACCCCGAGGCCAGGGTAAGGACGCGGCCGGGGATTCCATCGGGTCCTGGCGCCTTCCGGCTTTTGACCCTTTTGATGGCCCCGGCCATCTCCTCCTCGGTGACCCCCGGTACCACCCCTTGTTGTTCAGGGGTGGGTGCAACGTACGGGCCCATGGGGTCCCCTTCCCTGACCGGGAAGAGGGTCCCCATGACCCGCTCCAAGAACCGGGGGTCGAGCGTCTCCGTTAGCGGGGGCGTCCATGGTTTCAGCTTGTTCATTACCATTTTGTATGGACGCCCCCACGGATCCGCGTCCAGCGAGAGGAGGAGGGTGTCCCACCCTTTTCCTCTGGCTGCCCCAATCGCGTCTCTGAGGGATGCTGCCGCTAGGCAAAACTCCCTCCGGGCAGCCAGAACAGCCTCGGGGTCCGAGTGAGGGTCATTACGGACCCTCCTAAAGGCCCGCCTGAGGTGGACCGACTTGTGCCGGAGATCGGCTATGGCGTCGGTCCACCACCAGGCGGACCTTTTGGGGCAGGACCTGACTCTGGGCATGGCTTCGTCGCACGCATGCGCGATGACTTCCATAATTGCCATAACCTCAGAGTCGAGGTCCCGCCCCTCTTCCTGCCGTGGCCAGGTGGCAGCCTCTAGGGAGATGTCCAATGCCTCCCTGTCCAGTTTGTTAAGGGACCATCTCCCCGGTCGGGGTTGCATTCGGGGTTGCTTGGACCGCAGGCCCTCGGGGGTGACGGACAGCTCCATCTCTATCAAGAGATGATCGGAAAGAGCTTCGAGCTCGTCCGCCACCCTCCAACTCCGCACCCGCTTCCGGGCCGCGGGGGAAGCCCACGTGAGATCGATGATCGATTCTCCCCGCGACCCTACGAACGTCGATTCGCGTCCCACGTTCAGCGGGTGCAGATCAAGGCCCGCGGCCCAATCTTCCACCTCCTCCCCCCTCCTGTCACCATCCCGGGATCCCCACAATTCCGACTTCGCATTGAAGTCCCCGGCGATGATGACAGGTCCGGGGAGGTACCGTCTAACGGCCCTCCCCATATCTCGGAGCCTGGACTTGAAACTAGGAAAGTCCAGGCTCTTTGTTGGGGGGAGGTACACCCCGACCACGATGATGGCTCCCCACCTGGCCACGACAAACCCCCTGCCTCGGTCCAAATACTCGGCAGGGGGTGAGCAACTGCTCGCCTTCCACACAATAGCGACAGAGCCCAACTCGTCCCCGAACCATCTGCGGTTCCTGGGGACATGGTGGGGCTCTGCCGCTATGCCCAAGCCTGCACCGCGCTCCGTCATAGTATGCTCGAACAATGGGAGCGCTTGACGGGCGCGGTGCAGGTTCCCTTGGATTAGTCTATTGTCCATTTTCTTCTTCAGTTATTACGACCACCTTCTCTCCCGGCTGTTCGCCGTCGGTGTCCTCGTTTTGCCTAGCTCTTTTCTCTCCTCTCTTCTCCTCTACCTCCATCCCCCCATCATCAGTGGGGGGCTGAGGGGGAGGCGGAAGAGAGAGAGAGGCTCCTCTCCTTCTTTGAGGAAGTGGAGGTTGGGGTTCCATCTTTCGGTTTGCCCCTCCCTCCGCCTCTTTTCCTTCCTCGGTTGCTTCTCTTCTCTCCTCTGGGGATGCAGGAGGGTCTCGTGGCGGCGGTGCGGTCGCCATACCCCCTTCCACTGCATCCCCAGGGACATTCTTCCTCCTCTTGGGGGGACGGCAAGATGGTCCCCCCATTCTGTGGTCTGCCTTAACGCCGACCTCTGCGCAAAGTTGGCACCTGGCTCTCGAGTTACACTCCCGAGCCAAGTGACCGGGTTCTCCGCATCTATAGCAGTTTGCCCGCCTATCAATGTTGCTTTTGCAGTTTGTTTGCACGTGCCCTTTTTCTAGGCACCTGTAACATTGCAGGGCCCTTGCCTGCAGTAGCTCTGCCTTTGTCTGCGTCCATCCGATCCTAACACTGCCTATCTCTGCAACCCTCTTGGCCGCCGCAAGGGGGCACTGCATCCACAGTGTCCGGTAATTATTCCAGGCTATTTTCATACTCCCGGTCTTCACCTCTCCTACTTCACATCCCCCTGCCTTAGCCACTGCCTCCGCCGCCTCGCTCCCCGTAGTGGATATCTCCAACCCTTTCAGTCTAAGCTCTCCCATTTTCTGCGGCCTACTTATTCTCGCCCTATCGGTCAAGACCTCCTTAAGTCTGTCCGCCAGTATATCCGCCTGCTTGCTTCTTTCTTCGCCTGGTATCTCGATCACGAGTGCTCCGGTGGCCCCCACTCTAGTCTTTATCTTATTGATACCAATCCCATCTAAATCTATCTTCCTTTTCGCTTCTGCCAACAGGTCCTTATATTGTCCCTTTTCTGCTGTTATTGTCACCGCCGCCGTGTTGGGGACTCTCCTCTTGTTCTTCTTCCCCTCTTTCTTTTCGGGAATTACCACCTTTTTTACGATTTCTTTCCTCCTCTGCTCTTCTTTCTCCCTCTTCTTTTCTCTCCTGCCCACCACTTTCGTCCACATTTCCTGTGGTTTAGGTGCCTCCTCCCTGCTATATTGTGTTTGTAGTCCCTTTCTCGTAGGTGGAAGCTGAGGGTACTCTTTATTATAGTTTTCCTTGTTTTGTGCCCTTCCTTGATCCCTAGTTTCTTTCACCTCTCCTTTTCCTTTGTTTTTCCAGGCCCCCTGTTTGGGAGCCTCCTGTGCCTTCCACTCGTTCAGGGCCTGGAACACTATTCTCGACACCTCCTCTCCCAGTCCCTTCTCTTCTCCTTTTACTACTTCTACCCTCTTTTCCACCCTAACTTTGGTTTTCAGGGGGACAATTTCCCTGATCTTGGGACCTGCTAGTCTATTCGCGACCCTGGCTTCCCTCACCGGGTTTCTCTTCACCGTTGGAATCAGTCCCTTTTGAATCTCAATGACTCCAGTCAAGACTTCCTCCTCCTCCTCCATATCGACCATAGGTGGCGTGATCGCCCTTCCTATCCCTTCTGTGCGGATCAGGGGCGAGGAAGCACCCGCCATTTGTTGCGGTGCCTCCTTTATACCCCGACCCGCACTTCCCGGTTGTTTCGAGGGCGGGGAGGATACCACTGCTTCATGCAGTGGTGCCTCCCTTATACCTCGGAGCATCTGTTTGACCTCCTCCAGCTCCTTCCTCACCTCTGTCAGCGACGTCTTGAGATTCGCGTTCTCCGTCCGTAGTTCCTCTATGAGATCCATGTTGCTCCCGCATCTATCTTGCGCCATTTGCATTGCCATTATGTTGGCTCCTGCAGTTATGGCAGCTGCGGCGTCTCTGAGCACCTTAACATGGGTGCCCTTTAAGCTTTTAGATTTCTGCGAGAATCCTAGCACCTTTGTCGACGCTTCAAGTATCGTCGCCGTGACGTCCCGGAAGGGGGCCTCCTCAAGATGTTCAGTGAGTCTCTTTATTTCGGCCTTGTACTTCCTATTGGAAGTACAATCCTGGAACTCTTCACATGGGTTTTCCATGCCCTTCAGCAGGAATTCCTCCCTTCTCTGTTCCAGGATAACCTGTTTCCTGGCCAGGAATTCTTTTTTGAGCCGGTAACCCCCTGTCGTCTCCGGCCTGCCCCTGCTTCTGATGGCCTTCTCCACGAGGCGTTCTTCGTCGGTATTTCCCTCCTCGTCCCTCGGGATTTCCCACCTCCCTTCCTTCTTCTTGTGGGCAGTCTTCACGCCATCGTCCGAGTCCTCCTCTTTGGAGGTGGCGAACGGCGTCGAATCATCGACCTTAAGAGGCGATCTAGATCGGTCGCTGTCCTCGATCTCCTCCGCCTTCTTAGTCACTAGGGACTTCGCGCTCCGAAGCCCCTCCCTCCTTGCCGTTGTCTGGCCTTTGCCAGTTCGGCTTCTCATGTCCATTGTCCTTGCCTGGGTCGTCTTATTTTGTTCCGTGTCCGATGATTCGTATGAAGAGGAATTGAAATCTGTCATTGTGGTTTAAAACCCACCACTCTGCACGGCTCCGGTGCCCGGGCATGCCCGCATCCCCCCGGCAAGGGGGAGCCTCCGAGTTCCCCCGGAGGAGCACCATATGGCACGGGCCGACGGAATATAACATCGTCGGCACAGGCCTCCCGCCCCCTACACGCGCCCTGACCACCATCTCTGGTGGCCAGACCGCTTTCGGGGGTCCCACACCTCCGACAATGTGGGCACCGTGCAGAGCGCCGCCACGCGGGGGGCCCCATGGAAGGAGATAGTTCACCGGTGTCGCACCCCACCGGGAACGTCTCCCCCATGGCAGCCAGCGTGCTCGCGCCGCCCGAGGGTCCGCTTTAGGGTGATGCGATCGCATTCCCTCGGGCACAGCACACAGGGGCTCCGACCCCGCCTCGGAATACGTCCGAGCGGCCCGGAGCACCCCTCCACCCCCCGGGTACCGCGAGGGGTTCCAAACCCTCGCGGTGTGCAGACCCGGGTGTGGGTACCTCTCTCCGCCTGGCCGTGGCCAGGACGGATGAGGGAGAGGATCGCGTTCCCTTCGGCTGCCGGAGCACCGGCGTGCAATGCCTCCGGGAATGAGTCCTCTGATCGGCGCATGAGGGTGTCTCGACCCAGACCTCGGAATACGTCCGAGCGGCCCGAGACACCCCTCCACCCCCCGGGTACCGTGAGGCAAGCCCCGCGGTGTGCAGACCCGGGTGTGGGTTCCTCTGTCCGTCCGGCCGAGGCCGAACGGGTGAGGGAAGTCGGGGAGTCCACCTTCGAAGAAGGTGGGGTCCTCTCCCCTCGTCACCCTAGGGTGCCCCGACCCAGACCTCGGAATAAGTCCGAGCGGCCCGGGACATCCCCTCCACCCCCCAGGTACCGTGGGAATAGTCCCGCACGGTGTGCAGACCCGGGTGTGGGATCCTTCGTTCGCCCAGCCGTGGCTGGGACGAGCGAGGGAGAGAGATCCTCCCCTCTTCGGCTGCCGGAGCACCGGCGTGCAATGCCTAGGAGGGTGGGATCTCTCAGGACGCGGCAGCGTACCCCGACCCCGACCTCGGAAACGTCCGAGCGGCCCGGAGTACCCCTCCGCATCTCAGGCACCACGGGGGAGGAGGATCCCCATGGGGTGGAGCCCTGGATGCGGGTACGTCCCTCCGCCCCGGTCTAACCGTAACGGTCCAACCGAGGCGGGAGGAAAGGGTTCTCTCTCTTCGGCTGCCGGCTAACACCGGCGTGCAATGCCTCGGAGAGAGAGGTCCCCTTCCTGGAGCGAGTGTGGAGGAGGTCATCCCTGTCGGCTGCCGGAGCACCGGCGTGCAATGCCTTCAGGGATGATGATCTCCTCCCACCCGCTCTGTGACCGTGCTGGTCGTGGACCAGGCTGGTCACTCAGCCCGGTCGGGTGCTCTTGGTCCAGTCCCTTCGTACAGACCACTCCGGCTTGGTAGAACCTGCCAGGGGCCGAAACCCCCGCCGGCACAGCTCTGTACATCATCGGGACCTTCAAGCCTCCCCACCACGTCAAGGTGGCACCCACGGGGAGGACAATTAACCTGACCTGACCTAACCTAACCTAACCAAACCTAATCTAACCTAACCTCGTTTCACGTAACCCAACCGATCCGATTGTACTCTACTGCCGGGCAGGCCAATTTTGACACAAAAACCATTGTCTGCGAAGCCTTAAGCTACAAAAAATATAACCTAACCTAACCTTTCTCGGTTGAAGTTGACATGACCGTCCGTATGGTCAGCACATTCCTGTACGTTTTCGGGGTATTCGAGTTGAATTTTACGGTTTTGTGAAACTTACTTGTATCCCCAACCTCATGACCATTGCATCTTACTTTAAAAAAATACCTCTGATTCCTCAAAATTGCTCATTTTGCAATTAAAATAAGTACATGTACTGAAAATATGTATATATATGAGCATGACGTTTTAAATGTTTCTCGCGTCGCAGTTTATGAACTCGGGGTCACAATTTATATTCTTTTTCATGTTCAAATGAAATCTAACTTGTCATTCATATCAAATTAATTAAAAAATTGTCTTCAATCTATTTTCTTTCTACTATACCGTGTTCTTTTTTCTTCGAAGGATCTATGCAAAGGGTTTCGCTTACATTTCTTCCTTTATATTCGTTTCTCTTTTCAGCATACAGCAAAAATCAGCCATCATGACTTCATCCCATCTACCCTGATATCGTTGTTCCATCACTTTCATATCTTTATGAAACCGTTCTCCTTGTTCTTCGCTGTAGTCTCCAATATTTTCGGGAAGCCTATCCAGATGTGAATTGAGGAAGTGTAATTTTTTATCTGCGATATTTTTGGTGGTTTGTATCCCTCCTTGTTAGCATTTTTCGCCTGTGTCTGTAACCAGGGCACGTGGTGACGGTGGGCAACGGATCCATACTGGCTGAGTCCCTGGGTACACGGCGTTCATGCCGTCATGGCAGGCACACGTAAAAAGTGTTGTTACGATGCAGGGGTTAGGAACCTCAGTATCGGCGTCTGGTCAGGGTGGGAAAGCGGGCCCTCTGACGTCGGCATCATGCAATCGTAGCTCTTCATCAATAGATAACTTGGCTGATGAAGAGTCTCATGCTACAAGAAAAAAGACTTTGGGCATTTCACAATCACACGACTGCCATAAAAGTTCAGATACATTCTGTTATATTTGCAGTAAATATGAACTAAGCTGTTTGCGAAAAGAAATAAATGAAGAAGTGAAAAGGCTTTATGAAAACTGTTTCAGTCGTAAATTACTACACCAAGAGACAAATTGGGTTCCTCATATTATCTGTAATTCCTGCAGACTGATGTTGTATCGTTCTAAAAATTCAAAAAACCAAAAATATCGTAGATATTCTACACCAACTATATGGAAGAAACCACCCCATATAAAAGACTGTTACTTTTGCATGAATAACGTTAGAGGGATCACCACGAAAAAAAAGAGTACCATTTCATACATTAATGTGTCTACAGTAATAAAGCCAACTGAAATACATCCAAAAGCACGTAGCACTGATACTACCGTTGAAAAAGATGATGTAATGGAAGTCGACAACCAACCTGAAGAAGATAGTAGTGACACTGGTGACCAACCTGAAGAAGATACTGATGATACTGATGACAATGACGACGGAGAAGATGATTATGTTGCGTATAACACCAAATCGAAAGTTCCAGTTTTAATGTCGCAGTTGGAACTAAATGATTTCATTCGAGATCTAGGATTACCAAAAGATGGTACGGGAATTTGCTGCTTCATTTCTTAAAAAAAGAAACTTCTTGAAGCCGAACACAAAAGTCTCATTTTATCGCAATAGAGATGAAGAATTCCGAAAATACTTCACAAAAGATAAAGAGACCTCTTTGGTATATTGCATTGACGTAAGAGGTTTGATGGATCACTTGAAAAAAAATGCGTATAGAGATGAAGACTGGAAACTTTTCATCGATTCATCGAAACGCAGCATAAAAGGAGTTTTACTACACAATACAAATTCCTACGCTCCCATTCCGATAGCTCACTCAACAGCGATCAAAGAGGAGTATAACAATGTAAAAATGCTCCTAGATAAAGTGAAGCACGCAAGTCACAAATGGCAAATCTGTGGTGATCTCAAAATTATAACTATGATACTAGGACAACAATCAGGTTTCACGAGAGAGCCATGCTTCCTATGCCTGTGGAACAGCAGAGATCGAGCCAACCATTATAGCAAACAACATTGGCCTGAGAGAGTATCCTTTGAACCTGGTTCTCACAAGATCATCAACGAAAGTGTGGTTAATCCCCAGAAAATTCTCCTTCCACCCCTTCACATCAAGCTTGGTCTGATGAAGCAATTCGTCAAAGCCTTAGATACGGACGGCAAAAGCTTTACGTATATAGGGCGAAAATTCCCATCTATTTCTGATGCTAAATTGAAAGAAGGTGTATTTGATGGACCCCAAATTCGAACGTTATTCAAGGACACGAATTTCGTCACTTAAATGACCGACATTGAAAAGGAAGCTTGGGAAAGTTTCAAAGCAGTAGCGACGAATTTCCTAGGTAACAATAAAAGTCCCGACTACAAAAAAATTGTGGCTAAGATGGTAAAAAACTTCCAAAAGTTGGGATGTTTGATGAATTTAAAATTACACTTCCTCCATTCACATCTGGATAGGTTTCCCGAAAATGTTGAAGACTACAGCGAAGAACAAGGAGAACGGTTTCATAAAGATATGAAAGTGATGGAACAACGATAACAGGGTAGATGGGATGAAGTCTTGATGGTTGATTTTTGCTGGATGCTGAAAAGAGACGCGAATATAAAAGGGAAGAAACGTAAGCGAAACCCTTTGCATAGATCCTTCGAAGAAAAAAGAAAACGGTATAGTAGAAAGAAAATAGATTGAAGACAATTTTTTAATTAATTTGATATGAATGACAAGTTATATTTCATTTGAACATGAAAAAGAATATAAATTGTGACCCCGAGTTCATAAACTGCGACGCGAGAAACATTTAAAATGTCATGCTCATATATATACATATTTTCAGCACAGGCCCTTATTTTAATTACAAAATGAGCAATTTTGAGGAATCAGAGGTATTTTTTAAAGTAAGATTCAATGGTCATGAAGTTGGGGAACAAGTAAGTAAGGATACAAGTAAGTTTCACAAAACCGTAAAATTCAACTCGAATACCCCGAAAACGTACAGGAATGTGCTGACCATACGGACGGTCATGTCAACTTCAACCAAGAAAGGTTATGTTAGGTTATATTTTTTTTGTAGGTTAAGGCTTCGCAGACAATGGTATTTGTGTCAAAATTGGCCTGCACGGCAGTAGAGTACAATCGGTTCGGTTGGGTCACATGAGACGAGGTTAGGTTAGACTAGGTTTGGTTAGGTTAGGCTAGGTCAGGTCAGGTTAATTGTAAGTTTATGGCTCTGTAGACATTGGTTTTTAGGTTAAAATTTGCCTGTCAGGCAGTATATCACAATTTTCTCGCATATTTCTGTGATTTTTAGGTGTTTTTTGAGGTTAGGGTTGAACCAAGACCCGTTGGGCCAATTCTGATAGCGGATTTTGATTCAGCGCGTCAAAATACATAGGAATACACATGTCTCGTCCCCAGATCGAGACACTTTTTTTTGTGTGGCTGTGTTATTAATTCAGCATGTTATAGTATAAAAAATATATTTTAATATAAAAATTAATGTAATATTAATTGTTTGCATTTGCAAGAAATATGGATAGAACAGGATAGGTTGCAGTGATACATAGGAAGAAAAAAGATAGATGGTTAAATAGATGGATAGATAGATATAGAGATAGATATAGATGGATAAATAGATAGACAGATAGATAGATAGATAGATAAATAGATAGATGGATAGATAGATATAGAGAAATAGATAGATAGATAGTTAGATAGTATAGAAAAAAGATAAATAGAAATATAATTATCATTATTATTATTATTAATGTTTTCAGTTTCAAGAGAACATTCGCTTAAACGTAAGTCTTACTTAGGTCCAGTTACGAGTGTTAACACTCGTAAAGTCAGCCGAATTTTAAACATCTCGTAGAAACAAGTGCTTCAACCCATTAATATAAATGTAGAGGAAAGTAACCGAAACAGCCAAGAACCTCCTACAGAAAGGAAGAGATTTGAGCAGAAATTCATATTCAATAGCTTCGAGACATTAAGTCAATTAGACATTCCATGTTAATGTAAGTTGCATATTAAATAATAATTATTCATTGTTAATTTCTTCTCTGCTTCGCATTTATTTTCGAGCTTTTTGCATTATGTTTCAAATCAGCATGTTAATCTTTGACTTGTGAAAGGAATTGTTCAATTAACAATTGAAACTTAGCGAATGTAATGAAAGGCCATATATCATTGATAATTGATATGAGCAATTTCAATCGGTTCAATCGAAGAGCGTTCTATTGTGTAGGTTACAATTGGTTGTGTAGATAATATTTATAATCGTAACATCGTGAAAGATGCCGATGATTGAAAAACGCTAAGATTTAGTTTCATAATTTATTTTAACCGGAGTTTAAGACTTATTGAGAGAAACTTGTATAGTCACATTGCTCATATGCATAACTGAAGTAGAACAAATAATTATATAAAATAGAAGATGATGTCAAAATTAAGTTAAAATAATTTTGACGTTATCTTGACCTTTGATGATTATTTGTTCTAGAGAAGGAAACAGATTAATTAAATGTAAAATATGTCGCAAAGACGGTACAACGATTCTCTGTTGTACCGTCTTTGCGAAATCGAAAGATCGAACGGCGAGTTTGCCGTTATTCCGGTGTGTTCTCCGGAACGATCTGCGTTTGTGCTGTCTTTGCGAAATAGAGATCGGACGGCGAGTTTACCGTCGCTGCAGTGTGTCCTCCGGAACGATTCTCTTTTGTGCCGTCTTTGCGAAATCGAAAGATCGGACGGCGAGTTTGCCGTTACTCCGGTGTGTTCTCCGGAAGGATCTGCGTTTGTGCTGTCTTTGCGAAATAGAAAGATCGGACGGCGAGTTTGCCGTTACTCTGGTGTGTTCTCCAGAACGATCTACGTTTGTGCCGTTTGTACGATCTAGAGAACGAACGGCGAGTTTGTCGTTACTCCGGTATGTTCTCCGGAACGTTCTACGTTTGTGCCGTCTATGCGAAATAGAGATCGGACGGCGAGTTTGCCGTCGCTCCAGTGTGTTCTCCGGAATGATTCTCTTTTGTACCGTCCTTGCGAAATAGAAAAATCGGACGGCGAGTTTGCCGTCGCTCCGGTGTGTTCTTCGGAACGATTCTCTTTTGTACCGTCTTTGCGAAATAGAAAGATTGGACGGCGAGTTTGCCGTTACTCCGGTGTGTTCTCCGGAACGTTCTACGTTTGTGCCGTTTTTGCGAAATAGAGATCGGACGGCGAGTTTGCCGTCGCTCCAGTGTGTTCTCCGGAACGATTCTCTTTTTTACCGTCCTTGCGAAGTAGAAAGATTGGACGGCGATTTTGCCGTTACTCCGGTGTGTTCTCCGGAACGATCTGCGTTTGTGCTGTCTTTACGAGATAGAGATCGGACGGCGAGTTTGCCGTTGTTCCGGTGTGTTCTCCGGAACGCTCTCCTAAATATATTGCTTTTTGTTTTCTTCCTCTCGCTACCTCCTCTAGAACTCGGAGTACACAAGGATATAAGGGCAGACAGAGTCGGCACCCACACCTACCGACTGGCCGGCGCGGCCGCCGGCCCGGAGTAACCCCCTTTGGCAAGGCGCATCGCGATCTACAAACCAAAAAGAGATCGCCTAACAACCGCGACTCGTAGGATCTAGGGATCAAGCCGCCAGGCCTTGCAAAAATTATCCCGTCATCGGAAATCACGCGACGAAGCGAAACAAATAATTCTGACGTAACGAGAAACAAGCGCCAGCCTATGGCTCGACGACGCACGGCCTACCTAGTGTACACACCACAAGCGATAGCGCGGCACGACGCGATGCGTTTTTGCGCAGTTTCTTATGTACGACGTGAATCAGACGAGACGAAGAATAGGCATTTTAATCCGAAGAAAGCCTACGACAACGCGAAATCGCTGTTGCAGCCACCGCCTGCGAGTTTTCTTCCCGTCCACCTATGTACATTCTATGTATGACAATAATTATTTCCGACGAATCGACAGTCCCGCATCTAACTGCACCGTCATCAGCGGAATACGGCCTTGCGCAACGACAACGAGCCGCAGCGAAACAACACTGCGCGCTGAACAGTACCCAAACAGTGGGGACCCTCGCGAAAACTAACACGCGGTCATTGTGTGCTAAAGCGAAACGAATAAAGTGTCACTGTCGACAAACACCAACCGACTTCGATTATTCACCGATCACCTTCTCCTAATAAAACTTCTGCGCACGATTCGCTAACGACGATCGCGACGTAGAGGCCGGATCGACCCAGAAAAGCGAACCCGGAGGCACCGGCGTTACATGGCGATCCTGCCAGGATCCGGCAATTAGGAGATAGAGTATAGAATATACCGAGAGAGCACCAGACCCAGAATGAATTCCGCACCTCGGGCGTGGATTCAGGAATTAAATAAGGCGAAGATTAGCCAACGGCTCGGCCAGTATAGACTGGACAGCGGCACGATAGATGACTTGCGGCGACGCCTCCGCCGTTTTGTCACCGAAAACGCCGGCCTATTCGTAACCCAGAGCACGGAACGCCGGGTGCTGAGCCCACCCCGCGTGCCAAGTGCAGCCAGTACCGAGGAGGAACACATCCCCGGATGGGACTTGGCCACGAAAGCGCCTACCGATGCCGAAGCCATTCATGAAATACATAAATGGGATTGCAAATTTACAGGAAAAGACCCTCTCAATTTCCTAGAACGTATCGACGAACTCCGGATATGCTACGGCCACACGACCCGACAATTGTTTTGTGAAATACCCGAAATGTTTCGCGGAAATCCCCTGTTATAGTACCGCAATCACTGGCCTAATTGACACACGTGGGAAGTTTTTGCCAGGTCTTCCGCGAGCAATATTTGCCGCAATAGCATCGCGCCGAGATGCGACGGCAAATCGCCGAACGCCGGCAACGGCCCCACGAGACATACCGGGATTACGAAAACGCTCTACTCACGCTGATTCGACGTAGCGGGGACAGTGACGAAATGGATAACGCCTTCGGCCGATTGCACGAAAACATGGACCCCGGATATAAGATGTTCCTCAGGGCATATGAGGCCTCTAACATCGTCGAACTCGGCCGTTTGGCACGACGATACGAGGAGCTGATACTACAACAGCGCGCACAAGGGAGGCCTCCCCGCTTCAGTGGTGCCACCGTGGCCACGATGGCCTATGACCGTGAGGCCTGCTGTTGGCGCTGTAAACAGCCTGGCCATCAGCGGCGAGGCTGCGACCAACCAGCCCGGAAAATCTGCTCGCGCTGCGGGAGAGATGAGGTACTTACCAAAGACTGCCACC